ACCGGGATTTTACAAAACATGTTGTTTGTTAGTAATACACATCCATACCACACCTGTGCAAGCATTTTAACTTTGTATTTTTAACCAGTTTTTTTTTAATTTAGGTTAATAAAAAATTTGATTAGAGGAGGGTTAATTAGCATGATCAACAATAAGTGTTAGTAAATTTTTAAAAGGATTGCTAATGGATTAAAAATAATAAATAATTTTAGCAACTCAACTTAAAGTTGCTAATTTTAACATTTTTACAACCTCAAAAATGGGTTGCTAATGGATGTTAGGATTATTTAATTGTATTAAATTCATTAACAACCCATTAAAAAACTTACTAACTCCCATGGTTGATTATGCTCTTTAAGTGTTCTTTACGTCGTCGGTGCTACAATCACAACTGCCCACACTCAGACTCTCGAAGTTAAATTAAGGTTATGGTGACATTCATATAATTCCATTAGCTGACTGAATATTTGAACCTCGAATTATATAGATAATAGGAATTTACAAAATTAACGTATTACTATAGAATATTAACAGTTGGTAAAAGAAAAGAAACAAAATTAACATATGACCAAAAAATTAACACATATCCGAGACTCCGAGTCATGATAATTGGGCTTTATATTATGACTTGGGCTTTTATTCTATCCATTAAGCACATGTTTAGAATAGCTATGGCCCAATAAAAAAAGCCGAAAATAAGACTTTTCCTTTTTTATTCATTTTTCTTGTCGAACAATTTACACATTTCACTGTTCGCCTTTTATTCGAGCAAATTCCTCAGCAGAATCAGAGAGGAACCCAAAAGAGAGTGAGTGCAAGGAAATCTTCTCAGGTAAATTTACTCTTTCGATTTTCTCAAATCCCAATCAATTTATTCGTTTCGGAATCTGTTTTTCCTCGCTTTTCCCGTATGAATTTGAGTTTCTGGATCTGTAATTGCTATGAAATCTTCAAATTCAATAGAATGAAGTCGCAAAGATAAACCCTAGCTAGATTCGATTCTGGGGATATAGTTCTGTGTCAAAGTAACACAGATTGATAAACCCAAGTGTTCTATTGTTGAAACTTAACCTAGATTCAGTCTGGTTTTATTCGGAATTTGTCGACTGTGTTGATCGCTGCAGATTTTTGATTTCAGATTCCGTAATTGTAATGAAAAATCTTATTTTTCTTTACAATATGTATATGAAAATTGGGAGATTCGGTTGCTTTATTGTCTGAGAAATTTAATAGTAATTGGGTTTATTTCTATCTGTAAGAAGAGGATTTGATATGGATTCTTTTTTTTGAAAATGCATAATCTTAGACTAATGTGTGTTGTTGTATTTTACCCTGTTTCTAGTGTAGCTGTTAAAAGATGTCTCGGAGATACGATAGCCGTACCACAATCTTCTCGCCTGAAGGTCGTCTTTACCAAGTGGAGTACGCTATGGAGGCCATTGGTAACGCCGGTTCTGCGATTGGAATCTTATCCAAAGATGGTGTTGTGTTGATCGGTGAGAAGAAAGTTACCTCGAAACTTCTTCAAACCTCGACCTCCACTGAGAAAATGTACAAGATCGATGACCATGTTGCTTGTGCCGTGGCTGGTATAATGTCTGATGCTAACATACTCATCAACACTGCTCGAGTCCAAGCTCAACGCTACACCTTCATGTACCAAGAACCTATGCCGGTTGAGCAGCTGGTTCAGTCTCTCTGTGACACCAAACAAGGGTACACACAGTTTGGTGGTCTTCGTCCGTTTGGAGTTTCCTTTCTCTTTGCAGGATGGGACAAGAACTACGGGTTCCAACTCTACATGAGTGACCCGAGTGGGAACTATGGTGGTTGGAAAGCTGCAGCCATTGGAGCAAACAATCAGGCTGCTCAGTCTATTCTGAAACAAGACTACAAGGACGATGCAACCAGGGAAGAAGCGGTTCAGCTCGCCTTGAAGGTTCTGAGCAAGACCATGGACAGCACGAGCTTGACATCTGAGAAGCTAGAGCTTGCTGAGGTGTATCTAACTCCATCAGGGACTGTTAAGTACCATGTCCACTCCCCTGATTCACTCACCAAGCTGTTGCTGAAACATGGCGTGACTCAACCCGCTGCTGAAACATCCTGAGCACAAAACTCTCGCCGAGTCTTATCTGCTTGGTACTGTGTCTCCTTTATCTTGTAGTTCTCTGCTTCACAACTCTTTCCTTTTGGTTTGAAATTTAACTATGGCGATGAAACTAGAATTGACAATGTTTATGGATTTATCTGAAGTTATTGGAGTTGAAATGTTCTTTAGTAATGATTGATTGAATGCTGCATAATTATCAACAAAAAACCTAAACATCTTTCATTATAATGATCCCAAATTTGTAACAGTAAACCAAAAAGAAGGAAAGGTAAATACTTTGAGAAATATGAAACAAATTGTAACTACAATCGACTACTTTATACTCTCTATCACTCTTATGTACACATATTATCGTAAGCTACAACTTCAGGTTTCCAGCACCACTTATCAAGAACAGAGCTTAGGAAGCGATCTGTTGCTTCCTCTGCTCGAGTTCTTGGATCTCTTCTTGATGACTTCCATTTGATTCTGCATTTTCAAACACGCTCTCTCCAATTCCATTACCCTCCATTGAATCCCTTCGATATGTTCCTTCAACTTCTCGTTTTCTCCCGAAATCTCAACCTTCTCTACTCGGAGTACGAGTTGCTTCTCTTGTTGTTGTTCGTCTGGTGTCTCAATCGCCTGAAACTTATGGTTACGCGATATGTGTCCTCTTGATTCGCCTGATAGCTTCTCGTTACATAGTGTTCTTATCAAGTTGAGTTTTTCGCCATTGGTTAATCCTGCATGAGCCTGAACGAGAGAGCCAAACAAAAATTGTCATTTGTGTGATGAAGATCAAACTCTTTCTTTTACCTTTTTGAGTTTGACAAGATTGTTGAAATGTACCTCAAGATACATATCGATAGCACGGTAGATTTCTTCGTGAGATTCTCTGGCTGAATCTGGAATGGCTGTGAGGAGAGACAAAAACTTTGAAGGTTTCAAGCAAGGATCAGGTGCTACTTCAGCTATGTACTGATCAATCAAGCTTGCGACTTTCTTCAGTTGCGATCCTCCTCTTGCTCCGTCTAAGAAGGCTTTTGTGAGTCTAAGAACGAGATTCACATAGTACAAGTGACTCGATTTTGATGGAGATGGAACTAGAAGATTGTCAAGTGTTGCTTGATCCAATTGGTGACCGATCATAAGCTCTAGCTTGTTCATAATGCTTTTGTTCATATGCAATCCAAGAGCAAGCCTCAAAACCCCGAAAAGGCTCTTGCAAGGGACACAGCTTCGATCGAGAACACAAAGAGTATCAATGGTGATCTCAAGGATCTTTCTTTTCTCATTAGAAGACGCAGAACAAAACTTGACCTTCTGGTAATAGAACAAGAACCTACTTAAGATAAGATTATCGAATTTCCGCGATACCATCAGCTTCAAGAACGTTTCAACCAAACCAGGACTTAGAACAAGAACCTCATCGAACCACCATGTCAAGCGAGCATAGCTATTCTTGAAACTCTCTGTGCTTTTACTATCACAAGAAAACCGAAACAAGCTGCTATCTGGTGAACAAGCAGAAGCAGCACTAGAGGGACTCGCTTCAATTACGGTTAAACACAGTTTCTCCACCAGCGCATCCATCAGTTTCGCTGCTAAAGAATCAGCTTCGGAAGATGTTTCAAGTTCTTGACACTGTTTTAAACCAAGAAGAAGCTCAGGCCAAGCCCAATACCTAATATCTACCATACATTTCTCTGTTTGTTCCAAGACTTTAGGAACTTCCATAAACTTAGCAGCACAATGCAAGAAGACTACATTCGAAGGCATTACAGTAAATTCACCGTTTCTATAACAGAATCTCGATACAAGCTCGAAACTTTCCGATCCACCAGGGAAATCATTGAAGATCACCTTGACATTTCCTTTGGAACAAGTAGATTTCCCAAGCAGTTTCTTCAATGTTCCAGAATATGCACATATGATTTGCTGCAGTTAACAATAACCAAACTCAAAAAGTCATATAACTGCAGAGTAGAGATAAGTTTCCACAAGAACACAAAACAGATTTGAGTTTAATCTTGAAAGAGCCTCAAGAAAATAAAAAGTCCAAAACTTTTAAGTCATTTTACTGTTTGTGAAGGAATTAAAGGCAAAAGAAATGATGAACAATTATTACAAGACAGGAAAAGAAATTAAATATAGAAAAAAAGTCTGTGCTTGTGACTCCAAATCATGCAAGTAAATGTCAATCTCACAAGTAAGAACAAAAGGGAAGTGAATAGTGTCCAAGAGAGCAACTTCTTAACATCTTCTCAAAGAGTTATCTTCCTTTTTAATGGGTAAAATTTTGTCTATTTGCAGAAGAACAATGGGAGAAAGTCAGAGACGATGTTAAGAACAAAAACTGCAATAAATGGTGATGGAGACCTCTGTTTTCATTAACTCTCTTAACTTGAGATTAATGAGACTCACACACAAATCAGTTTTAGAGATTCCAAATTATTGATTGGTTTTTAACAAGAAAAAAAGATAAAAAGAGAAACTTGTGTGCCCTCACTTTAAGGCAATTCGGTGAGAGAATATTAAATGCTGAATGTAGCAGAGTCACACACAATACGTGAAAGCTCTTTTTTTTTACAGTTTGATACAGAAATTAGAACTCAAATAGATTTTTATTGTAAAATTTACAACTTTAAGAAAATTGGAGAGACCCAAGTAAGAAAAAGTGGAATTAAGATTGAGTATATGGTTAAAGTTTGGATTTTTGAGGCTAATATAGTAGCTGTGTAGCTAGAGTTTGTTAAATAGGGAAAGAAGAGAGTTTTAGAGCAAGAAAGAGTTACCTTATTGAGAAAGATAGTTTCTTCTCCGTTGATGTCCACTTCAAGATCAGAGCAAGCTTCCATAGCCACAAAAGAGAAAGAACCCACCTCGAGAACAAGATTCTCTCTCTCTAAGTTTTCCTCAAAAGGAAAAGAGATGGTGTGGTAAAAGAAGAGAGTAACAAAGAGAGGGAGAGAGAGGTGAAGTGGTGGATTTATGCCCAGAAGAGAAAGAAGACAAAGAGGAAAGAAGCAAGAAACTTTTGTCTGTTTTCTGATTGTCAGATTTATAAGCAAGTCTTTCTTTTGATGTCTGTCAAGTCAATTGGTGAAGCACCCACACATTAGTGGTGGGTTTTTTTTCTTTATAATTTTGTTCATGGAAAACTGAAAAAAAATGAAAACTTTAGTGAGTAAAAAAAAAAGACCAAAGCAAGAAAGGCGTGTCCAAACAAACGCCACTCTACTCACTGTACATTAAGAGAGAGAGAGAGCACCTATTTTTCTGACATTCTTGCTAAATACAATTACTCCCTCTGTTTCAAAATATAAGTTGTTTTATCAAAAAACACAGATATTAAAAATTATTTTTCAACTAAAAAATATTATTTAATATATCTAATAAAAATAATTTGACCAATCACACAAAAAACTACAAAATACTAATGGTCACACAATATTCAATAAAGTTAAAAGTATCTAGTATTGTCAAAACAACTTACATTTTGAAACAAAAATAAAACTCTAAAACAACTTATATATTAAAACGGAGGGAGTATAAAGAAAGAAGAAAAAAATAGAAAAAAGATAAGGGATAATTGTTTGTTTATTCCGTATAATAATATAAAGTTTTTTTCATATAGATAAATTGTTAGTAAAGAAATAAAAGATTATGCCAAATGACAATGCAATTTACCTTTTGATCAGCTGATCCAATCAGTAATTAATGATTTGTTTTTTTTTTCAGGATAATATAATGATTAGTATATAAGCCAAATGGTAAAGCTTTCTAGGCTATGTTCCTTTGTTTTTTTGTTCATTATGATGTTTTATGTCTCTAATCAACTTTATTTATTTTTGGATAATTTTATAATCATGAAGACATGAACCATAAGACCAAAATTTAGTACCAATCAGAGATATTTATATACCTTTATTAATATGCTGTTTTCGGATGATAAATTAGCTTTCAAGAAAAGTTGGATTCGACACAGTACTGAAAATTGTTTTCTATGAATATTTTAAAAAATTTGGAAAACAAACCAAATATTTTACAGTGATTAATTAGGAATTCAAAGTACAATAAGGTGAACAATCAGGATTTATTCTTACTAATTTAGATAGATTTTCATGAATAAGTTATTAGGAGAGAAATATAATGTAGAATACAAAAATTTTAGAATTCGTACATGAATTGAAATATATGAATTGTTCTTGTGGTTGAACGCCTTTTTTTAAAGAAATTGAGGTAACTGGATAATTTTCCACAGTAAAAAAGCCTTTCACGAGTTAGAAACAAAAATAAATAAATATAAAGTTTGAAAAAGGAAAAAAATATATATATTTGGCGTGTCGGGGGTTCGAATCCCTCTTCGCCCACGTTTTTCCAGAATTTTTTGTAGACCCGGCAGAGATAAAAAAAAATCTTAAGTATCAAAATTTATAATTTTGTAGTGTATAATTACATAGATAAATGAGCGTTTGTGACAAAAATAAAAATAAAATAAATGAGTGGTAAATCATTAATCCAATAACTCTTCTTAAATTCTTTGTCAACTTTTTTTATCATCTAATGGTTTACATATTATTTCTGAGTGAAAATGTACATCCGCACAAAATTTAACTAAGAAAAACAAAGCCAAAGAGAGAGACTAACAGATTTATTAGATCCAAATGATGTTCATGTCGGAGGATTCAGAGGGAAAAAAAAAGGGCGGCGAACAGAATCAAAACGAAGAGTTTGGTATCAAATCAAAACTTTTAGAATACTATCTACTGTTACCTCATGGTCCACATCCATATAGAGATATGCTAGAGCCACGAGTGTACATAACCGATTTAAAACCAATCCATAGCCGGTTTCGATGAATTTTTTTAAATCTGACATGTTGCATTACCATAAATTATTTGTGTATTCATCTATGTTTTGAAACCCGGACTAGACCGGGCCGACCGCGATCCGGCTAGTTTTTCGGTTCGGGTTTTAACTAATACTCGAACTGTTAAAAATTCGGATGGAACCGCAAAAAACCGGCTGAAACCCACGAACTAATAGTTGAACCGGCGGTCCTGGTCAATTCTATTAATAAATCTTAAGGATTTTTAGGTTAGGCCGTAAGTGCTTTGGAGCCCAATTGTAATTCAATCACATGTTATTTATTAAAACTGATTTGTATTTCTCTTTACTAGAGTCCGAATGTGATATCATATTTTTAAAAGTTTTCTCCATTTTGTTTGGTGAAGAATAATATTTGTCTATATGTATGCCCTTGTCTCTTTTCGATTAAAGTTTCAAAAAGAAGTTAAATTTATTAAATCTTAAGTTCTATTCTATTTATATAATAATAGAAATTATTAAATTAATATTATTACAGTATTATACTTTAAAAAAA